TGAAAAAGAAGCATTGATGATTATGTATGCGGTTTTTGAAATTCCATCGCATGCTTCATGGTTGGATGTTCTGAGGCTCAGACGGATCACAAACAATTGTGTCAAATGAGCTCGGTCAATACAGTTATCGGACTATTGTGTTCTTGTGACTTCTACCCACGTAGCAAGGGATATAGCAGATTAACTTTATGCCAGTCAGGTTTTCGGGTTGATGAGCTTTAAATCTGTGTCGCGGAATCAATCTATTCTGCAAGCAGAAGAAAGTGTTTTCCAGTCTATATTGATATAGAAAAACGTAATGCTGCATTTATTCATTCTTCGCTTATCACATCCCAGTTATATTGACTGGAGTTCTCCGAACATCTTCGTTTGATCCCATTACATATAGTGAAATGTATAATTACGTGTTTTCCCTCAAGTTGTTGATCGCACCTGGTCTAGAGTTCTACCCTTCTTAAATACGGCACTGTGCCACTGTCTCACATTTTTGCACACAGTTAATATTTTGCTCGTGCTCCGAACTATTCTGGATTTCTGGCAGCCAGTTAGAATTACTCCCATCCCAAAGGACTTTCGAAGGTCCCAACATCAAAGCCTTTCGGGCCAATTGCTCTCACTTCCACTGGTTTGAAATTGATGGAGCGCTTCTTCTCTAGATCACTTCATCTGCAAGTCCCTAAACGAGAAAGTCAAATATGTGCACTGCGCATTCCTTGGACTCGGTGCTCCATTCTCTTTTACTTAACACGCTCCGGTCATTTGGTTGTCCCACTGCTCCTTTTGAATGGCTTGGTACTTACCTTACGCAAAGATATCAGTATGTTAAATGGGGTAGAAGACAGTCGAAGGCATCACTCAATATCTCGGGTGTATTTCAAGGTGCTGCCCCATCACCCCATCTTTTTGCGACTTATATCAGTGATTTACCTATTACCCCCCCCCTGTACGATATTTAAAGTATGCTGATGACACTGACATTTCTCTTTCCGTATCTAACCAATCAGAACTGGCTGTATATAACACAAAGTTATCCCACCTCGTCACGTATTCCACTTCATCCGGTCCCATTCTTAATCCAGAAAAATTCCTTGAATGCATTTTTGCTCTAAACCATTCCAATCTCCCTCCGACAATCTAGGGATTCATGGAAAGCCAATGAGCAAGGTCAGCCATATGAACTACTTAGGTGTCACACTTGAAAGTAACCTTTGCTGGTCCTTACATATCCAAGCTGTTACTCGCAAGTTGAAAATTCTCTCTTTTCAGATAAGAAGACTGTTCCCCTTCTGTTTTGATTTGTCGGTTATGGGTGCTTTCGTTCAACACTGTGTTCTCCCTATACCCCTTTACTGCTCCCCTGTAATTTTCCCTGGTTTGCTGAAGGCTGATTGCAAGTTGCTGAGGCGTGGCCTCCCAATGATCAGCCGCGTCTCCCAAGCTCCGTTATCGGTTCTGGTGGGCAATATGTGTAATGTCCCTATTGATGCGTGCTTGAAGTTTGCTGACAATATCCTATCCGATTGCACCCATCCTCTACACATTCACTTGTGTGCATGCAAATCCCACCCCTCCGCCCGTTCCAAGTACAAACTTATCCTGTCTCACATATCCGCATACAGAAACTCTTTGGTACCCTATCTTACTGATCGACAAGGAAAGTCTTCGTCCTTATGCACTTAGTAATTAACTCATATTTTTGTACGTTTTACGACCCACTTTTTCACTTTTTTTACCAGAAATACAACGGCGATCTACTTTTTGACTGAAAGCTTGTGTAGAACTCGCTAAAGCTGAAGCTTTTTGCTAGTTATACAATGCAATACAAGTGCAACAGTNAGCCCCTAATCAAGTGGTGTTTTCTGTGAACTTTTGAATTCTCTAAGTGATGGCTGTTTTTGCTTGGAATAGATCTTCGTTTCTGTGAGGGTTAGCCGATAAAACCAGTTGCGACCGGAATGATGCGTCCTCTTGAACGGAATACATTTCGATAACCGAATAACAGACGATCTGCATTACTATTGTTATTATAATAACGTCTGTAGACTTAAAGCCTACATTTCGTTTAAAAAATTATAAATTCTATAGAGGGACAAATAACACTTAAATTCAAAACTGCTTACAAAGTCTGTGAAAACCTGTTATTTGTTAACTAGAATACGTGCTATTTAGGGTATATATGTGCTTATTCGAGAGGGAACACAGCGGTATTGGGATCTGGTTGACGGATGGGAACAACAGGAAGGTAAATCTGCGTGGTAAATCTGTGTGGAGTAGATAAGAATCTTACATGCAAACCTTTCACATGCATTCAATGACTCACAGGTTAGTTACCAACTTCTCCAATGCGATTGAGGAGATGCGGCTGATGATGGTCAGTCCACGTTGAAGCAGGTTGAAATCCTTCCTTGGGAGATTGGTAAAAAAGAAACAAGGTGAATAATAAAGTAAAACGAGAAAAATAGGCCGGTAAAGGAATTTGGAAATAATCGGTTGTTTTATATGAAAATGACTAAGCCTATGGATATGGAAAGAAATTCGTCGAAGTGACGATATGTTGAATGTGAGAGGTCCAATGAAGATTAACATCGATAAAATCCCTCAGTTTATTAATACAGCTTACCCGGGATACAGCTGATCGTTACCAGTTCATCTGGGAAAGACGAATGTATTAATGAAAAGAGACAGTCGAAACACTTGGAGCGATTAGGAGTGAGGCTGGAAGTGGCGGAAAACTGTTGAACGTTTTCCAAGTTACCAGAAAATTGTGAAAGACCAGAAGAATTGGAAAAAACCTGACATAAAGCCACATCTTCCGCATATTTGAAGAGAGAAGTAGGGGCGCTAGCAGACAAATCACCAATATACGTACAACACTCCGGAGTTTTGGCTTTGGTTCCACACAGCAGTTTGATATCTTGCTTACTTCTGTTACTATTATTACATTACAGAAGCTGAGGAGAGGAGTGTGACTTCAGTTTTGATCAAGTTGGTATGATATTTGATAGCCGCTGAGTCTCTGGAAATGTAGGATCGGTCCTTCTGTCTTCTGAATGATTTCAACAGTGGAGGTGCCTTTCCGCCGTTACAGACAAATAGAGTTTCAAAACAACAGCATAGGTTTCACATGTGGTTTAGTGTTTTAGTGAATCATCATCACGTGAAGAGGGAAAGGAAGAAGAACACGAAGAAGTGACACTAATGGAACGCTTAAGAAGAAGATTGTTTGTTGGTAAGAGATTGCGAAGACGAATAGTGATTTGGTTTGTTCTGGTGAGTGTATTGTGAATGGGACGGGAATACACTGTGGGTCTTATGAGCATCAAGGCGTGATCACTAGTGGAAACAGGTGCTGTGAGTTGTAAGGCAAAATGTTCTGGGTGAATAGTAATTACGTTGTCTAAAAATTAATCACCTCTTCTGGGGGATAGGCAAATATCAGTTAGGACAAAAGAGATTGTGGGATGCGTGGATGCGTTCTTATGAACACAATGGATCGACACTTCAGCCGGGCACTGTTGTACCGAGCAAATGATACGTTGAGTGTAACCATTTGAATGATGAGTTGACTCAAAGCACATCACTGAGAAACACTCAAAGCCCGGTGTTACAAATTACCTACTTGTGTGGAATGTACCCTTCGTGAGTATATGCTTATGGCTACTGAATGCGCATACCTGACGAGTGGCAAACAATGTAGTCTATGTAACTAGTTACTTGCGGACTCCCGATGGACTGGTAACCTTTAGGATTCCGACAACCGTCTTCCCAAAGAAACGACTATCTTATCAAAATTTGGCCAATAATGAACACAGGAATGGGTTTATTGAAATGGCTTTTCCAGAGTGGATTTCAGAATAATTCAGAGCAGAATGAAGTAGGAGTTAACGTAACTGGCAACACTGAGAATAGTCCTCAAATAGACACAGTCGAGACGTTTTATCTCAGCCGCATGATTTAAAGAATTTGGCTGTCTACGCAGTGACTAATTAATATGTCGTGTTCTGCCAAGCGAACAGTGGGATTGAAAGGAGAGATGTTCTTCTTTTTTAACAAAAAGAAACCAAATATGTGCATAATGAAACTAGAGTAGGGAGAGCTTTGGTGAATATAATCGAATTGTGCAGACTCGATAAAATTGCGCACAGTATCTAGTATATTTCTGGACGGACACAGAGCGCTTCTGTTCATCTTGACATGAGCGTTAGTCAGCGTCCTGGCACGTGCACACCACGCGACGTTAGTGGGCTCAGATGATTCCTTGATGGATAACTCCGGACGGACGTACCGGGAGGCACACACGTGCGAGTGTGTGCGGTTGTGCACAAACGAACGCACACACGGTCCCGTCGAGGCACGTATTTATACTCGCACACTAAAGTGCGGTCTGAATGCATCAAGTCAGTGGTTGTGCAGCCACCCACCGCAAACTTGGCACAGTGTGACGAGCCAAGTTCTGGTTGGACAAGGCAAAGCTAATGTGAGATAGAGAGATAGAGGCAGCGTTGAACGATGAATCCTTCTACGTTGCTCGGGCACACGTAAGTCTGTGCGTGTGTGTGTATGGGTAGGTGCGTGTGTATAACTGCATGTCCGTGCGTGAATGCGCTAATGCGTGCATGAACCTCCACAGCAGAAAGGGGAAGGTAACGTTTGACTTGTGTAAACAGGCAGGTGTGGCGCGCCGATTACCCAAAGGCGACCCCGGGGCCAGTAAATGCATACGGTTTCACACAGCGGTGCACAGAGAGGCACAAAAACGCGCAGACGTGAAACTGGTAGCCACAAACGTTTTGTTCATCAGTCTGGACATATCGTGCCCGATCGATCCATCTTCCGTCAATCTTAACCAATCAAATCTGTCCGTGCTCGGATAGCAAACAAATTAGGTCTCTAAGTAGTCATCGTCTTCATTCAAATCCGCATTTTACCAGCGAGACGTTCAAAATTGGCATTTGAATAATCGGTTGTTTCCCTACTGTCGGTCATCTGTTCACTTTACAATGTCCGGCAATAGCCGGTTCATTGATGTCGTCAACTTGAAGCCCAGACTGAACTCACACATGGCTTCTCTAATCAGAAGTGGACTGCTGATTTGTCTCTTGTCCTATCTCATCGTCGTCCACGGGGAAACCGAACTGCTTCGGCACTCACGATCCGCCTACGAACAACGAACTCCGGAAGATGCACTCACATATTCCAGTCTTAGATCCTATGATATCCCCGAGCCGTTGGCCAATGTTACACTGATTAACGGTGAAGATCAGGGTATGACTACATCGGCTATCTCTTTAGCTATTGTGTTCGATTCGACCGGATCGATGGGAAACGATTTGAAACAGGTGAAAATTGGTGCTCGGCGTATCTTACAACGTCATATGCAACGAGGAGAAGCCAACTACATCAAAGATTTCGTCCTGGTTAAAGTACATGATCCCGGTACGTGATAGTTGATATGTTTTAGATGCTGCAATCCATTCACTAAATTTAGTAACATTTTCATAAATGGATTTTCCATCTGACAGAAGGAATATATGAGTTAATGCAGCCACTTTAAATTTAATAATCTGTTTTTGAGGTGAGGATGTGTATAAACCAAATAATGACTTTTTACCATAATATAAAGACAGGAACATTTTGTTCAAAAGCTTGTTCTTCGATAGTGTGTGTTTGCGTCCATTGCACACATTGGCAAAACTCGGTCGATAAAATGTGGCAAAGACTACACTGTATCTCATCCCACTTTCATCATGCAACATGATCCCTCTTCCTGTATAGGCATGTATGAGTAATTCGATCGAATAATAATACTCGCAATTAATTGAATCAATTACATCTCTATCTGTTGGTTGTCCACCAAAAAGATCAGACTTAATGCGGATGACTAAATACGGAAGAGCATACTGGGAAACCGTGATACAGTGAGCGAGAGAGAGAAAGTGAGAGTAATTTAAATCCCATGCAAGACATAGCTTTTCAGAATAGATTTTTTAATCATGGCTAAACTGTTGGCATAACTTTTCGTCCCATCAATGATTTCCGATTCCTTTAGAACAGGACTACGATGTAACCATTCGATACATGCTGGGCCTAGTTTGACAAGCTAATATTTATTTTATGCAATTTTTCCACTTCATCAGTCACAATTTAGTGATCTTTCCACCAGATCCGTATGTCTAAACAGATTTGTTGTTGTTGGCTGGTGCATGTGGATCGGAAACGAACTGACAAGCTGTCGATTACCCTCGAATCGACGCTTCACATAAGTTTGGTCTGGATCAAACAAATCACGTCTGTCACAAAGTCGTATCAAAGACACAAATGTCGCGCATGGCAACCTTGGCTGGCTGACCCACATTCCAGATGTCCAGTGCCGAATACTCTCAGACATGCAAGCGGCATGTGACTACATACGTGATTCCTAATCCTCGATCAGTCCAGTTTGTCAAGTCTAATAAACAGATAAGTCTTCGTCGAACCGGGTTTGTTTTTTCTGTACTGGACGCCATATTTGAGGTGGATGAGCCAATTTGGCGGAAATTTGGGGGGGGGGAGGAGGGAGGGAATCCGTTCAGTTTTGTTCCCTGAAATGATGTGGAGCAATGCAGGCACTGGGTACGTCAATTGAAGATGCTTCGTTGACACGGATATGAGTGGTCTATAGAAAGCCGATATCAACGGCCATTTTGATCTCATCTACAACACTGAGCTAAGGTAAAAATCAAGTGATCACATGTCATGCATTGTTTCCGTTCTGGGCTGTTGCGATTAAGAGAATTCAAAAAAGAGTCCGAAAATCTTTTCGATGGTGTGTGTGTGTGTGTATGTGTGAAGGTGCTCGCATGAGGTACTCTCAAGCTAAGTGGAGGTTTGAACAGCATACCAATGACCAAGATGATATGAGTATTAAAGAGATGAATTCGGGGGAAAAAACATGTATGCTTTTCTGTAGTGGGTTACTATTGCTTTAATAACTTTCTCAGTCCGTGTTCTGTCGCTACTTTCACTGGGATGGGGATCCACCAATCAAAGCTAAACGACAAACATCCAATGAATTTTGTGCTGGTTCGGCTGATATGTAAATCTCCACCAGAAACGGAATTACCTTGGGTAATGTAGATTCGACAAAGCCCTTGTCACAACAGAATTTAAACAGACATCTTTAATCAATTATTTCGGAAATACGGTTTTAGATGCAGATGTCTCTCGGCTTCACGTCAACAGTAACCGTCCGACTTACAATCTCAGACTTGTATTTTAAGACAATATCCGCCCTAAGCTACATTCTATGAAATATTTCACCGGTGAACTAAATTTATGACCTGGGTTTTCACACTGACTTCAGGCTCACCCGCACCGTCGATTCGGATTGCGTTGTCTTCTCCAGACATCCGCTGAGCTCTAAGTAACGCGCAGACGGATCATTTCACTTACTTCATGGAACTTGGAATACTTAAGATCCTATCCACTACGGACATCTTCAAAAATCAATTATCTGCCCCCCAACCTTCTGCGATAGCGACTTTGGATAAATGAAAATAGTAACTTGACAACCAGGTGTGTGTGTGTATCTTTGTGGTCATTCATGTTACTATGTGAGCGAGCAAGTTTGAGCTCAAGCAATGTGGTTGGGTATTGACGCAGTAACTGTTCAATATCAAACGGAAGTCATAGTTGTTGTTGTTGTAGAAAGAATATTTGGAGTTTGAGTTTATTTCCCAATGTTGCATCACTTGAAAATTTATCTACGTGCTAAGAATTAGTCGACATGGTCAGAATCTTATCGACTGTTGAGAGTATTGTGTTACTTAAACCAATATGTTTAGGGACCATTCGAGCTATAAATCTTTAATTATTTTCATAAACTGAATCGAAGTAATTCATTTTCAGTTGTTCTTTGAA